ATTATGCCTGGGCAGTCCTTGAGAAGAACAGAGACAAGCTTCCGGCTGACATAGTGGTGGTGTTGCGAACTTCGGAGAACAAACTTCTTCAGCAGCTGTTCTCTAGCCCATTAACAAAAACAGGTATTTTCTGCACAACTTTGCTAACATTGCAACCTCTTCAGCTACCTACTCCTCTAAAACTCTAATTATTTCTGTACAATCTTTTAAAATTCTATTTCAGCTCTGCTGTTTCAAGTTTCCTAAGTATCTAAAATATTGCGATCATATTTTCTTTTTAAATATGTGGACATGGATTCTTCTAAAAAGAACAGGCAGCAAGATTCATCCCTCACTCCAGAGAAAGGGAGATTATTTGACGTATAGGGCAAGAACTCATTCTCAGAGCAGGATGAGAATATGAGAGATTTTTGGTTCTTAGTCCTTTGCTAAGATAAGTTCTCAGTTGTTAGGTTCTTGTGTACCATGTCTTACAGTTCATAAATCATGTAATGTAGATCAAGTTGTTTTGGAGGTAATATACATCTATTTAGATGCATTGATGCAATACATAAGGTTTCTTACAAATTATAAAAAACACATACTTAATCTGCTAGAATTAATTAATTCAGTTGATTTAAAGCTTGTTGACACTGACTTACATGAAAATGCACAGATCTATAGCTAAATAAAACAGCAAGATGAAGTTTGATTACTCCATGGATAGATGCCAGAATACCGGTAACCTATACAAATGATAGTTCTGCAGTATACATGCAAAAAGCCAACACATCTCTCAGTACTTCCTACATTTTTAAAGTATCTTTTTCGTAATGGGTAGGAAAAAGAGGTAATACTAAGGAATAATCTAAATACGATGGATTGTATCAGATTGCAAAATTGTTGTGATCTGATACAGCATATGCAAATGAGATTGTTGTATTTTTAGGTAGAAATAAGTGTACATGCATTAGGTGTTGCTGTGTAGGCTTATTGTACATGGGCTGTAGATGCAAATCTGTGCCTGTGCAGCAGCTCTGCCTGGATTCCTGGACCCTCAGTAATCCAGTCATAGCCTCTGGTGATGACTTTAACCACTCTTGAGATTTCTCTGTAGAAAAAGAACGTCTGGAGGAAAATTTATATTGGAGCCTTCTTTGCACATGTAAAACTGGTAGCAAAATATCAGTTTACATTCTGCATAGGATAGACTGCTGTTACACTGTCTCTGTTCTTTTCCTGAAATTAGAAGGCTCTGGATTACCCCCCTTCAAATTATGCTTTTAGAGGTCCCTGGGAGGTGAGGATCCAATGAGAAAGCTGCTTCTCCTTTCAGCTATGACAATGTTAGATGGAGAGGGATATAGTTTAAGATGGAGTAGGACTGGTTTGTGCCCAGGTGGGGAAGAAAGAACCTTTGTGTCTACTTCTGACGTTTGAGTCCATGTTAAATTGGTAAAAGAGATTCTTTTACTCATGCTGGATGGATCAAGCAAAGGAATAAGAAAACTCACATCTGGTCAAATGTGCCGCCACACCCCTCTTTACTAGCCATTTTATACCTTGGAGCTATTGTCAGAATGAAATAGATTAGGTGCTTTGTCCCAGTTATCAGTCCCAATTATTGTAAATATTATACTTTTGATTTTATTGCTATTTTTAAATCAGAATGCTTTCATGCAAATTCACCTTCCTCTGGCTTTTTAGAGATATTTTCAGTGGCAGCAGCACTGAACTTGGGTATTTTGCCCAGGATGCATAAAAGGTTCAGTAAGAAGATACTTCTCACTGCAGTAATGTAGACTTACCATGTTGGTGTATTTCCACTTTTTTGTTTTGTCTCTTACATTCCTTCCTTGCTTCCTATTTACATGAATTGGGTGCTTTCTGCCTCCCCTTACAGAACATTTACCTTTCCATGAAGAGCACACAGCAAGTTGAGTGTTGCCTTTATTTCTATAAAGTTGGTACAGGACATCCTGTTAAAAAAATTATTGTGCATACGCTCCTGTGCATGGTGTTACAAGAATAGCTTAAAACCCTTATGTCATTTTTATTTTTTAAAAGTCTGTGTGATTTTGCTCTATTTTTTCCAGCTGTCTAATATAATTGGCACTCACATCCTGTGTTGGGGCCTCTGTGTTCTAAAATCAGATTGTTGCCAGGTTTAGTTTTGGTAGCTTGCAAGATAAATGAAAGGTTTGGCTGAGAACAGAAGGTATCGCTAGCAATGCTGCTTCATCTCTGCTCCATGAAGGAAAAAGATAATGCTATTCTCTTAACTTTCTACAGAGAGGCTTTTGTAAACAAAAGAATAGTGACTGTGTGAATGTCCGATCATACTCTGCCCTTGCCTCTTAGCCCTCTGCCCTCCACTTAACATGTGCTTCATCCCTAAAGCAAACCAGAAAAAATACAGATTAAGAATCATAATCTTGATACAATTTTCTCCAGTTTTTTGTAGATTACTGACTGCTGCAAAAGTTAATAATTTACATGGAAGCCATATTGCATCTTTCCAGGTAACCCTGACTTGAAATGAGCCTTCTGCCAGTTTCTCTGGTGTTTTGTTTGAAGATGAGTGACAGCACATTCTCACATCTGCTTGCAACTAGCTCTGGAATTTGCTGCGTAGGTGGTTTTTGCCAAGCAGCAATCTCCAATATGTGTAATAGTCACTAGGTGGTGCTGTCCCAGAAGCAAGAGGAAATTTGAGACTGGTAACATGGGTCTGACAGTTACTGAAAATGTAGTTCTTAAATACCAGTAAGAACAAAAAGATGCCTTTCCCACCCTGAGAAGATCCTCTGTTTGAAGTATATTTATATAACTGTCATGTCTTCCGCTGTCAAAAACTGAGCAGCAGCAAGAAAATAAATATTAAAAAGACTAAATTCTTTTACTAATTTAAGATCATGTTAATCCCTGTAATTTATCAAATATACTTATCCCCTCTTAACAAATGCTTCTATTTCACAGTAGCAGACTGTGTAGTTTAAAGGGCCAGAAATTAACAGCAGGACATGAAATATACATTTTTAATAGTAATTTATGGTTAAGAGACTGCACAATTACTGATAGGAGATACCAGAACTTTAGCATTCTGGCACTAATTTTGTAGCATGTACAGCATGTTTTGTCATCTTTCAATGGAAACTTATGCACGTTCAGCACGTTTTGGAATCTGTTTGCACTTTCTAGGGACCTTTAACCTCAAAACTGAATGAACATATTCTGGTTTAACCTACCAATTCTCCCAATTGCTTCCATATTTGTCACTTTTTTCTGCAGACACAGCTTCTTGTGCTGATAATTCTGTATATTCTGAAATTAAAACAGAATTTACTCCAAATACAAGAGAGAAGTAGAACATTTAAAAAAAAAAAAAAAGTTGCCACTACTCCAGTTGAATATGCATGTTCCCATTCAGATATGATGCATTCCTGTTTGTCTCTAGTTTTAGTTTATTACTGTTGCAGTTAAAGCATCAGAGAAGAAAGGAATCAAGTGATCTAGAAAATACAGCCCCCTTGTAAGAGAACAGGGCTTTAATTGGAAAAATTCAGGAGAGCCTTGGTACATTCACTAGTGGCATCAGTGAAGAGTCAGACCATTTGACTGTCCTGATATTCAAGAATTTTTGCAGCATCACCTTTAAGTGGTGGTACCATCAAACTGCTTGGGCAAAGCACCACTGAGGCTTTTTGAGACTGCAGCTCCCTCTTCCACATTTCTTCTCTCTTACCTTATGTTCCCCAACTGACCAGATCATGGTGGCAGGATAGGGAGATGTGCCAGAGGGGCTTCATTTTCTCAGAATAGCGGCAGCACAACATGATTCTCTACTCTTGAAACACAATCACTGCAGTCTTTTTCCCATTTATAACTCACAGACCTTTAGAGCTTTTGTCAGGGTTGCCCTGCTCTGCCTTAAGTCCTTGCTGGAGAGAGGGGGAAGAGTTGCCACCTGGAGGGAGGGAAGGGGAAATCCTCCAGCCTTCCCACCACCAGAGCAGAGGCACTGGGAAACTTCCCTGTCCTAGCTCTGAGGATCCGTAGGGGCTGGGCTTGGCTGTGTACCATTACCGCTACAGCAACATCATGTCTAATAATTTTGGTAGCATTGGATATTGCTCATGCGTTCAGAGTGATAGAGTATCAGTATATCATCCATTGCTAATAAACACTCCTTGTTCATGGTGCCTAGGTATCTGAGCATAATCTGTCAAAGTTTTCACAGCCTTCACTGAAGAGTTAGGATAGTGGTGTTTTGACAAGGGAATTTTTTGTCCAAAATAGGAGGAAAATAGATTTTTTTCAAAAACAAATTAATTATAATTAGCCTGCCTAAAGGTCGTTTCCCCTCCTCGGTATTAATTTTCAGTCTGTTCTTTGTGCCTTTGAGTCTCCAGCCCTGCTTACAGCCCTCAGACAAAAAGTAATTATAAACAATGTATGTCTCATATTAAAAAAAAAACAACAAAAAAAAAGAAAAGAAAACAAACAATCAACAGACCACGTGCTGAGAAAGAAAGTGAAAAAAATGTTTCAGGCTTTGTTTATGCACACTAAAGAACACGAGAACTAGGGCTTTTTGCAAAATCACTTTAAAGAACTGTTTTTCACCACTCCTTGGTTACAAGAGTACTATCTCAATATCAATTTGTCTGTAACTTTGATAGCGGCTGATTCCTCATGAAGAGTCAGAAACTGAGGGAAGCAAATGGATTTTCTTGCATTTCAATCTCGTGGACAGATACTACTCAGCATAGAGTGAAATCTTGGCCAATTGAAATTGTAGATGCTTTGCCATTGTTTTCAGTGGAACCGTGATTTGGCCTGTCATGTTTGTCACTGTGCGCTCCTATTGAGTACAAGCTCTTCCTCTAGCGATCAGTAGTGGCAGGTCTCCTGGCTTGGTGTGTGTCATACTTACAGACTGAAATACAGCATATTTCCATTTGGGCTTAGCAGATTTTTTTCTCTTAATTCCACACATCACAATAGAGCAAAAGACTCGAATACGTCTTAATTTTACTAATTTATCCTACAATAAAATCTTTTTATAATGGTATTCTTGTGTTAGTATTTTCACTTCTAAGAGAGAACTGCAGGCACTCCCAAGTCAAATGAATCAGAAACAA